CAGACATGGCAATTCCGGGCGGCCGAGCCCCGGGGCCGGGCCTGGAATCTAATTAACATGAACAAAACACCCGCTTCCGGGCCCCGGAAAAATATGCAAATTCGCGGGGCCGAGCCCGGGCCCGGCCGAAATTTTCCGGGGCCGGGCTCGGCCGATTCGGCTCGGCCCCGGAAACTAACGTAGCTGATTTGCGTCTAAATTCGGATGCTAATATGCAAATTTGCAATGAAAATTTTATGTGCGTTCGGGCTGTTAGGACATCGGCATCGGTAAAATTCATTGAACTTGTTTAATAATTCGTCCCAACTATCAAAAAGTACTAAAATACAGGTCTGAACCCGTTATGATCTGGCTGCAATAGACATGGAGATGTATGGCAACCTTTGAAAGAATCATTTTTTCCAATTTGCATGAATATTTTGACTGAAAATGATTTACAACCGGCATTTCCGATTAGCGTGCGGCCTTGCGGCCCCGGGCTCGGCCCCCATTTTGGCTTATCCCGGGGCCGTCGAGCAAAGCCGAGCCCCGGCCCCGCCGGAAGTGGGGCCGAGCCCCGTCTAGAGTGAGGGAGCGGCAGGCCTCCTCAGGCTTTCTTGGGCCGAATTGCATTTCCGCGCCTGCCGACGCCTGGCGGAAGCCTAAGGATTTACGCAGGCTTTTTATGCAATGCTAAAAAACATGTTAAACTGGTTACTGCATCTAAAACGTTCGTATCTTTGACGCAATAACAAATTACAAGGATGCCGAAGGTGGGAAAAATATAGGCAGGATGTCAAGAGAGCCAATTGCATCCCCCCGCCCCTTCGAACCGACCCTTCACTTTTGTGTATCCGCGTGCTTTTAACGTATCGTGCCGTTAGGTTTGTCAAAAACAGTACCCTAACTTTGTAGAATAATTCTTGGACCCAATACAGCTCTTCGACCCCCCGGAAGTTTCAAAAAAATCCTTATTTGTTCGGCAAAACTTCGAATATTCTACGACTTTACATAAAATTTCCAGATAAAGCCTGACTAATTAGAGGTCAGGCGTACTTTGCATAGCCCAGGCTCAGCCCAGGCGATGCAAATTAGAAAAGCCTGAGGAAGCCTAGGCAAGCCTAGGCTTTAGCCTAGGCCTCCCTCACTCTAGCCCCGTCGGCCCGGCCGCATGCAAATTTTTGGGGCCGAAAAAGCCCCGCGGCCGGGCCCGTTGCCATGTCTGGGTTTATCTATTTTTGTCAACATGGTGCTTGCGAAAACTCTTTACATTGAAATTTATTTTATTTAGTTTCCTCCAAAAACATCTCCACCGCACGATGTCGCCAGCGACTTGGGCGGGATCTGCAAGGTGCAAGCCGATTGCGGGTCGGGTCAGCGGTGCCACGAAACGCTGCAGCGATGCGTCGGGCAGTGCTATCCACTCAGATGCCCGTGATTGGGAATAAATATCAATTTATTGTAATAGAAAGTGAGATTTACAACACCTCGAAATGCATATCGCAAAATTCCCGTTTTTCGCAATTTGGTTTTTCGACAGTAATTTTTGGAAAACGCCAAGGTCAGTAAATTCCACTACAGCTCTGGGAAATAGCAAAATTCCGCTTGAAGAAGCTGTTTTTCCTAAAAAAGGTGTTTTTCGCAAAATCAACGACCATCGCAACCAAATTTGGTAGCAAACGCAAAACTCTCTCGCGCTTTCTCTCTCTCTCCCTCTCTCACTCTCTCATTTTCTCTCTCTCATTTTCATTCTCTCTCTCGCGCTCTCTGGCTATCTCTGGTTCTCTCTCTCTGATTCTCTGGCTCTCCCTTTCGTTTATCCTTCTCGCTTCCACTTTCTTTGATTTCTCTCTCATTCGCTCGCCCTCTCTCCCTCCTCTCGTTCTCTCGCACACCTTGCAAAACCTAATGCGGCTCTCACAGTTGCCATTTCACTTTTAAATTATGGCGGCATGCGTCAAAACCAGAAAACCGCAGAATAAATTTAAAAATGCTAAAACGTCAACCCTCAGTCTTTGACCTTTCGTAGCGGTGACCTATAAATACCAGGACGCTCACCGTAGCTTCACTACAACATGCGTACCCTGCTCCTGATCCTAGTGCTGATTGTTGCTGCCTCAGCAGACGGTTGCAAAGGTGGTCGCCTCCCCGAATGCCCCCCGGGGCCATTAGGGTATCCATTTCAACAAGGCGAAAAGGTAGGGCTTCTCTAAAAATCTCTAAAGGCAGGACGTTGAAATTTCAGACCGTCGAAATCTCGGAATGTCGAAATTTACATAAGCTAATTTTCCCGGAAAAACCCCGAATCCTATCCAAAAAAATTTCGAGATTTTGGTAGCAAATCCCTTGTCGTTACTTCCAAACTTCAATTTAAACATTAAAATTTAAAGGTCACAGAGCAGCAGCCCAGGAAGTTAAAAACGGATGGTGAAATTCAGGTAAATGATTCGTAGCTAGACTAGACAACTTCTGGTTTTCAGGACAACTGGCCCTGGAGGGTGAATAAATCCGATGGGAAAGGCGGAAAGCCGAAGGTACAATTTTCTCTAAAGATCTCGTGTTAGCCTGCCCCGTTTTAGGCCGACGAGCGTCGTGAAAAATGAGAAATGACGGGCCTATACTAAGATTTATGCAATAAATCAAACTTCACATTTTTAAAGGGGCCGTGACAGGAGATGACACACTACACCCTCTCTCTCTCTCTCCTCTCTCTCTCTCTCTCTCTCTCTCTCTCTCTCTCTCTCTCTCTCTCTCTCTCTCTCTCTCTCTCTCTCTCTCTCCCTCTCTCTTTCTCTCTCTCGCTCTCTCTCGCTCTTTCTCGCTCTAACTCATGCTCCCTCTCTCTCTCTTTCTCTCGATTCTTGAAATTCTCGATTGCCTTTCGTCCAGACACTTAGAATTTCAAATTTAGCGCATAAATTCTACGATCGAATCCATTGGATCGAACAAAAATTGGGCCTTGTCGCTCGGAAAATATGAGGGCTCTCTTCTTGCTATTTATTGCCCTGGCTACAGTAGTTTTCGCCAGGCCTCGGGGCGGCACCTGCTCGGTACGCCCCTGTCCTAAGGAGCCGGTGGTATGTTAATTTTCTGAAAGCAAAGGGAAAGAGAGAGAAAGAGAGAGAGAGAGAGAGAGAGAGAGAGAGAGAGAGAGAGAGAGAGAGGGAGAGAGGGATTGATTACACATCTTTTTTAGTTCTACCCTACGCTGAACAAACTCAGGAACGTAGAAGGAGAGGTGAGAGTGAGACGCAGATTCTTTCGCATTTCCGGGAAGCGGGGGACCAACCTTTTTCTCAGGATCCAATTTTTAAAATATAAATAGTGAAAGTGTTTTTAACTGGTTTTTACTATTCCTAATCGTGAAAACTTTTCAAAGCTGGTTTAAAAAGTATCGAAAAAAATCGATCGGAAATGTCGATTTGTTTTTACAGTTTTTTGATAGTTTGTCTAGTTTAAATCTGGTTATATAATAATAAAACACTATTAAAACATGCTATTAGGTTCCTAGGCATTTCTCGATTTATACAAAAAGTTCGATCCGATAGGAAAAACCAAAAGACCGCAGATCAGATTGAAAAATTTCAGGGTCCCGCGTCGCGCGCGAAGCGCCAGGGCGCCGGCTGCTCGGCGGATGCCGATTGTCTGGATGGGATCTCCCCTCTACGTCCACAATAAATTTTTTGCCATTCGATGTTATCACCAGCAGAAAACGCGAAAACGCAAAATCCCCCCACCCCCGATTGTCTCTGATTTACGCCCCGATCGGGCAAAGCACAGACGTCAAAACCGCTAAAATGCTCGTAAACAAAAAAATTTAAACGCGAAATATATAAAATCGGTTATTTACGACCAATAAAACGAACAGAAATGGCTTTCAAAATTGGAATATAAGGAAAATCGAGCCTCCAAATTCTCATTCGAAACAATGAGGAGCCTCTCGTTGCTAATCCTTGTCTTGGCTACCGTACTCGCCGTGCAGGTCTGTTGCATATTACCGTATATCCTTTACATCTATGTATATAATTTTCAATTTCAAATAAAATTCTCATTTTTTAAATTTTATGCATTTAAAAATTTTTACCATACATTTTGTGCAAAAAAAATTTATCTAACAGTCATTTTCTGTAGTTATTTTGCTAAGAAAAGCGCGTGAAGGTTTTTACGTAGGCTTCATCGATTCGGTCCAAGCGGCAGTGCGATATCTGCGCACCGGGGGGTTTAAAAATAGAAAGGAACTGCATTACAGGGAATGGGACGGAAGAGGCGCGATACGGATGATGAGGTATGGTTTGGTTATGCCTATCGGATTGGCTTGTTAGGCTTAGCTTAGGCTTAGCTTAGGCTTAGCTTAGGCTTAGCTTAGGCTTAGCTTAGGCTTAGCTTAGGCTTAGCTTAGGCTTAGCTTAGGCTTAGCTTAGGCTTAGCTTAGGCTTAGCGTAGGCTTAGCTTAGGCTTAGCTTAGGCTTAGCTTAGGCTTAGCTTAGGCTTAGCTTAGGCTTAGCTTAGGCTTAGCTTAGGCTTAGCTTAGGCTTAGCTTAGGCTTAGCTTAGGCTTAGCTTAGGCTTAGCTTAGGCTTAGCTTAGGTTTACCTTAGACTTAGCTTAGGCTTAGCTTAGGCTTAGCTTAGGCTTAGCTTAGGCTTAGCTTAGGCTTAGCTTAGGCTTAGCTTAGGCTTGACTTAGGCTTAGCTTAGGCCTCGGCTTAAACTTCTTACGATGACAATTTCCCGAATTCCATTGAAAAAACTAACTTTAAATCCTTAGGGACCGCACTCGCTTTCGAAACGCCAATCGGAAAATGATGGGGTATGTTTTATCGAGCTTTTTTAAGAACTGCCATTGCAGTCGCTACATTTAAAAGATACTATGGGTTGCCATGAAAACAAGAAAAAATGTTCCGGAAGGGAATAGGGTGAAAAAGCAACATCTTTTCAGGTTTCATCGCTTCGGTCCAAGCGTCAAGAAGAGGAAAAGTTTTCCGATTGCGATGACTGCGGACCGGTAGGTTCTTCAGTTGGTCTGTTTTCGGCCGATTTTGATAGGAGAGACAGATGCCGTTACTGTTAAATTCAATTGCAGGGAGGTTTCTTTGGGCGGAAGAAGCGCGATACGGATGATGAGGTATTTTAAATGTATTTTAAATGTATATGTTTGGTTAAACCTATGGAATTGAGGCTTATTAAGCTTAGGATTACCGTCAGGCTTATCACTAGGCTTGGGCTTAGGCTAGGCTTAGGCTTAGGCTTAGGTTAGGCTTAGGCTTAGGCTCAGGCTTAGGTTTAGACTTTGGCTTAGGTTAGGCTTAGGCTTAGGTTAGGCTTAGGCTTAGGTTAGGCTTAGGCTTAGGTTAGGCTTAGGCTTAGGCTAGGCTTAGGCTTAGGTTAGGCTTAGGCTTAGGTTAGGCTTAGGCTTAGGCTAGGCTTAGGCTTAGGTTAGGCTTAGGCTTAGGTTAGGCTCAGGCGTAGGTTAGGCTTAGGCTTAAGCTCAGGCTTAGGTTTAGACTTTGGCCTAGATTAGACTTAGGCTTAGGTTAGGCTTAGGTTAGGCTTAGGCTCAGGCTCAGGCTTAGGTTTAGACTTTGGCTTAGGTTAGGCTTAGGCTTAGGTTAGGCTTAGGTTAGGCTTAGGCTCAGGCTCAGGCTTAGGTTTGGACTTTGGCTTCGGCTTAGGCTTTATAGCAATGTCTTTGTTTTTAATGGACCTAAATAAATTTAATTCCTAGGGCCCACACTCGCTGTGGAAGCGCCAGGTGGATTATCACAAGGTATTTGGGCCTTGACGTCAAATAGGCCCCATTTTTTAGCTCCGTTCCAAGCGAAGCGATGAGTGCCCGACTTGCGGGTGGTTTGTAAGTGCGCCCAAGAAATCCTGCTGACATTGCCATTTTTAGGGTAACTGGGGCATGGGGCTGAAGAAGCGCGATACCGAGGACCAGGTGAATTTTTGCGTTAGGCTTAGGTTTAGGCTTAGCCTTAGCTACTTCTGGGCTTAAGCTTATGCTTAGGCCTAGCTCTTGGCCCTGTTTGTCAAGCGTCCTAAGCCTACTTTCATTCTAGCGCCCGCACTCGTTGTCGAAGCGCCAATCTGAAGATGATGATGTGCGTTTTTGTTGAAAATTAGAAAAAGCCTAAAAATTTTGCTTTCAAAAGTTAGCATACACAACTTTTCAGCCCTCTGCCGCTCGCTCAAAACGCCAACTTCACGAGGATAAGGTCAGTTTTAAAGGGGCAACGAGCAGAATACCTTGTGGAATTTGTAAAACACTAAAATAAATTTTTTTTCTAAATTCTTAGGGACCGCACAGGCTCTCAAAGCGCCAGACCGACGTTGAAGTCGATACTGAGGTCAGTTGGGCTTTTTGCTCCCCATTTTTTGCTTTTTTTGCATGCTAAAAAATTTGAAACAATGATTGATTTTGATGTTCTTTGTTGGGTGCTTTTGGCTGTATTTTTGTCAAAAAAATTAATATTTTGTTTATGTAAAATTTAGATCTCCAAGCGTTCGAAGCGCCAGGAAACTGACGTCAACACTGGGGTCAGTTTGGCTCTTTTATGTAAAAATTTTTTTATTTTTATTGCATTTTGCATTTTTATTTCCGATTAAATGATTGTTTATTATCTGATCTTTATTTCTTAGTTTTATTTTTATGCAAAAAATTACTAAATCCCGAAAAGCGGCACTTGCAAGGGTATTTTCAGGGCTGCACGAATTCGGAGCGTCAGGCTGATGTCGATACTGACGTCAGTTTAGGCTTCGGCTTTTTAATTTGATCTTTGTTATGCGAAAAATTGCCGAAAAATCAAAACGAGAGGATCATGGAAAACTTTCAGAGCTCCGCGCGTTCGAAGCGCCAGTTTGATACCACCGGAACTGGAAGCGCCGGCCCGTCCCAACCGGTTGGTTTTCTTAGAAAATATTTTTGGGAAACTTTCGAAATTCATAAGCCGTATCTTAAATTATTAAATCTTCAGATTTCCAAGCTCTCGAAATCTGATGGCGGGAAAAAGGGTGGCAAAAAATCCGAAGTAAAAAAACCGCAAGCCTGCGGGTTGCACTGCCGTCCACATTAAGCCCTGTACTCGGTGATCGAATAAAATGAAATTGCCAATAATTGCCAAACAGAGAGCTGGAAGAAGAGAGAGAGGAGAGAGAGAGAGAGAGAGAGAGAGAGAGAGGGAGAGAGAGAGAGAGAAAGAGAGAGGAGAGTGAGAGAGGAGAGAGAGAGAGACAGAGACAGACAGGCAGAGAGACAGACAAAGAGAGACAGGAGACAGAGGGCATAAAGCTCCAATTTTTATTCCGTACAACAGATCCATTAGGGAATACTTGATGACGACCTTGTCGCGGCCCTGCCAGGCGTACGGCTTGTCGAAGCGGAAAGCGCACCCGAGACAAGGGTTGTAGCTGAAAAGATGGATTTTTAGGCGCTATGTTGAAGCCTCCTAAGCCTGAGCCTAAGCTTAAGCCTAAGGTATACTCCCCTCGATAATGCCAAAGATCCACCAACTTTATGTTTTTGCAGTCCAGATGGCAAATCTTTCCGCCGGTACAATCCGAATTCGTGTAGCAATCCCACCGGGCGAGCGGCTGAAAAATCGGGGGGGTTAGCCGAGATTCTTGAGGACGGATCGGAGAGAATCGATAACTTCCACCTGACAGTATCCTTTTTCCTCCGGAAAAGGCGATATCACAAACTTCGCGCGGATTGGCGCATCGCTGCTGACGGCTGCATGGCACGTCCGGGATGGCTTTGCCCTAGGAAAAATTTTCAAGTTATTTTTGAGTTTTCTAAGGTTTATTAGATCCTATTAGTCTGGATCGCGATTTTTTCTAGGTCCTGCATTTGTTGTTTTTGAGGGTTTTTCTTGCTGGTATAAACATAAATATATTAACAACTAAAATAAACAAACTCAAAATAAATAAATTAAACAAACTCACCTTCTCATCAAACCCGCGATTCAAATGGGAATCGACGCCAAAGACAATCCAGAGAAAGCCGTAGAAGGGAAATAACGAACAGGACGCGTTTCTTCATTTTCGTATAGTTGGGAAGAAATGACTGGTAGGAGAGGGCTGAGATTTTTGGAATTAATTCTTTCTGGAGCTAAAATGCACTCTGAATTAATATTACGGCCGTTCCCAGATACCCCAGAGTACCTCTGCTAGCATGCCTCTAATTCTTGTTCTACGTCTCGTAAAGAATCTTTTATTCCATAATTATTTCGGCACACAAACACCAAGTCCATATTTCTTCTGCTCCTCCTTGTACGGTCCGTTGACGCAAACTTTTTTCACGCCACAGTCCGTGTCTTTTCCGCAGCGATTGTCTTTCAGAAGCTTCTGAAAACCTGGTTATTACTGTATTTTGCACATTACTGTATCCAATTTTAGTACTATTGCATATTACTGGATCTTTTGCATCCCTTGAAAGGGGCCAGACAGCCCGAGTGTATCGTGCCTAATCTACGATTGGCAAAAAGTCAACCGATTACGCGATGCGAAAACGGATGAGTGAGTCACATGATTCCGCTTTGTTCGTCTAGGGGCTGGCGGATAGTGCGCAAGGGGTAGCGAGGCCGGCACTCATAGAGCCGCCAATGGTGGCTGGGGCACGGTTTAGGAGGCGACCGGCGGCCAATAGAGGCTGGCGGCCGCCAGGCAGAGACGCAGAGAACAGAGAGGGCCTCTGGGCTCTCCACCCCCCGCCCACTCTCTCGCCTGTCCCATCCTGTTCGCGCTACACGAACACAAATGTTAAGGGCCGGAATGCTGTGGAGTGATAGTCCTCAGGAAGGAGGGATCAGAGCCGCTTTCCGCCGCCCCCCGATTTTCTTGATTTACATGAACTATCCTTATCCCTTTAGTTTCAAACGCAACCTACCTCGCAAGTGCGACATTTGACCCCGGAGCAGTACTGGAGAATCGGGCAATCCTCATTGTGTTGGCAGTCTTGGGAGCACTGGAATGGAGAGGGATGGGAGCGGATCCTACATAATCCTCGGTGCTAGCTAAGCATTTACCTATTTCCCAAACAATCTCTGCTAACCTGCCCTTTCCTGAAGAATCTCTGCCAGCCTGCCCTTTCTTAAACAATTTCTGCTAGCCTGCCCATTCTTAAAGAATCTCTGATAGCCTGCCCCTTCCTAAAGAATCTCTGCTAGCCTGCCCTTTCCTGAAAGAATCTCTGTTAGCCTGCCCCTTCCTAAAGAACGTCTGCTAGCCTGCCCTTCCTAAGGAATCTCTGCTAGCCTGCCCTTTCCTAAAGAGCCACTGCTAGCCTGCCCTTTCCTAAAGAATCTCTGCCAGCCTGCCCCCTACCTGATCAGCAACCACGGCAACGGCGAACAATGCGGCAAAGATCAGCACTTTCATTTTTGGTTTTTCGATAAAGAATTTTGGGAAAAATGTCTGAAAGTTTGGTTTTGTGCGGAGCACCTGATGCATTATGCATGGAAATATTTTTATTATTGGTTTCGGCATCGGAAATTGAGATTTTCTGAAAAAAGCTTGCTGGTCTTTGATTTCAGGGTCCAAAGCCAAGGTTGCTAAAAAAGCTGCAGAAAATTACGGGCAGGCTAGCAGAGATTTTTGAGGAATATTGATTGCTCGAAGACTCGAAATGTAGGATAACCAGCGGGGATTCTTTAGGAAATTCAATTTGTTTTCTCAGGCTACTGGTATGCGTTTCCCGTTAGTTTTGGTCAGTTTTTGGTGATTTTTGGTTGGAATTGGTATCTTGCAAAGAAACTTTGCGGAAAATTAGGACTTTTCATGAGAAAATCAGTGCTTAACCAAAATTCAATTATTTATTTCCGTTCGCAGAGGCCCTGCCCAGCCAAAGTCGGTCGTTCCGGCCCATCAACGCATCGCTCTCCGGCTCCGCAGTCCGAATTCTTGCCGCAGCGCTTCGCATTAAGTGGCTGGAATTAGTGTAAATTATAGCTTACTTACATTTGAAATTTAAACTTGTTAAAAAATTGCCCCACCGCACACTTCTTACAGCCATGTATCGAACTGCAAAATAGAGACGGTGGGCAGTCGGCGTTCAGACGGCACTTGTCTTGGCACTAAAAAAAATTATAGGAACGCGACACGCAACGCACGCTGCTGAAATACCGTATGAATTTCTGGAAACAAACTACAAAAGCCGAAAACGGCTTTCTGTGAGCCAGACTACAAACTACAAAATGCCGAAAGATGCCGACGTTCGGGATTTTTCGGCATTGTAGTTTGTAATCTAAACGAGAAAGACACCAACTTGTAGCAAATCCCGAGATGGGGTGAAAAATCCCGAATTTCGTCATTTTTTTCCCGATTTTTAGGCTGTAGTCTGGCAGACAGAAGGCCGGTTTTTAACATCTTCGTTTTCTAGTTTGTAGTTTAAACTACAAAAAACCAGGAGCCCCATTTTTAGGAGGAGAAACATAAAAGAAAAACTAAAAAAATTGCGAAAATCGGGATATTTGTTCCTATGTCGGGTTTTCGTCCAAATTGGGGTCTGTCTAGTTAGATTACAAACTACAAAAGGCCGAAAAATGCCGCCATGGCTGTATGGTTCCCTAAAACCGTACCCCGGCAGCACAAATCGCCACGAGCAGCAGCAGGAGCAGAGAATAGCGCATATTTATTGGCAAATTCGGGGTCGCCCGCCCCGTTTTATAGAACACGGCCATGATTTTTAATGTATTCAACTACGTCGAATATATTTTATTGGAATTCTAGGATGTAATCCGTGCGTTTCTCTGTTTCCTCAAAGAACTCTGCTAACTTGTCCTTTATTTCACACCGTTAACGATTGATTTATCCAGGCTTGGCGCACCTCAGGTTTGGGCGTCTCGTCTCCGGCTCACAAACGCCGCTAGTTCTGCAAGCAAATTGGCGAATTTTTGGTACTTAGTCGATTACGGGGGGGGGGGCTAAGCCTAGGCTCTACTTCGGCTTCGGCTTAGGCTTAGCTTAGAACCATCTTAATGACGTTTAGGAAAAGTTAACGACTTTTTAAGCAGAAAACCCTCTCAAAAACTACAAAGTTGAAAAATTGGTCAATTTGGTCGAAAAATCCGTGTTTTTTTTAATTTGTAATTTTGAGCGTTAAAGTTGCTCCCCCCGCCGATAACGCAAAAGCACCCGTTTAAAAAAAGCACATACTTGGTCCTTCCGCAGCAATAGTTCCCACTGCCACAGTCGTTCGAGCCGTTGCGGCAAACTTTTTTGGGCGGAGCGCCGCCTTTCAGCTGACGGGGGCCACCCTGGAAATGGGCAGGCTAGCAGAGATAATTGAGGAAAAGGCAGGCTAGCAGAGATCATTCCCGGAATTCTACTTACATCCAGCGCTTTCATCTTCCAACAAGCCGGATCGTATCCACTACGGCAGGGCCATTGCGGAGTATCGTAGGCCGCAGCCAGCGCCAGGAAAGCCAACAGGTAGACGATGGAGCGCATTTTAAGTAACCCCGGAAGCCGGGAGTTCATTTTATACGGATAGCTACTGAATTGCAAAGCCAAAAGCATTGACGTTTGTCGCTTCGGAGGAAGGGCGTTTGTCACTTGTTTCCGGTTAGCAGGCATCAGACAGGCTAGCAGAGTTTATTGAGGAAGTTAGTGCAGGAAAGCAGAGATTCTTTAGGAAAGGGCAGGCTAGCAGCGATTATTCAGGAAAGGACAGTCTAGCAGAGATTCTTTAGGAAAGGGCAGGCTAGCAGAGATTCTTTAGGAAAGGGCAGGCTAGCAGAGATTCTTTAGGAAAGGGCAGGCTAGCAGAGATTCTTTAGGAAAGGGCAGGCTAGCAGAGATTCTTTAGGAAAGGGCAGGCTAGCAGAGATTCTTTAGGAAAGGGCAGGCTAGCAGAGATTCTTTAGAAAAGGGCAGGCTAGCAGAGATTCTTTAGGAAAGGGCAGGCTAGCAGAGATTCTTTAGGAAAGGGCAGGCTAGCAGAGATTCTTTAGGAAAGGGCAGGCTAGCAGAGATTCTTTAGGAAAGGGCAGGCTAGCAGCGATTATTCAGGAAAGGACAGTCTAGCAGAGATTCTTTAGGAAAGGACCGGTTAGCAGCTATTATTTAGGAAGGGAGGCAGACTAGCAGTGATTTTGTGGGAATGAGGAGCGGAAATTTTCGCGTAACGTGAACAACTTATATATGATTTATTGCCCTTTAAAGGATACACTTCAGCTTGCTCCGCTTCGCTTCCGGCTCGCAGTAGCCGCGGTTTCTAAATCAGGATTTCTTACAAGAAAAAGGTAAAAAATCAACTTGTCACGTCCGCAGCAAAACTTCTTGGCTCCACAGCTGTTTTTACCGCCCGGGCGGCAGAAGTCGCCCTTCAGCCGACGCACTTGATCGCCCTGCTGAAATGGGCAGGCTAGCAGAGATCATTAGAAAAACGCGGGACGACTAGCAAACGGGACCGGCTAGCAGGGATTATTGAGGATTTCACCTACTTGACGGCGACACTCCGGATCCATATGGCAGCCATCTTTGGCTAGCGCGACGGCCAGAAGCAGGCAAAAGGCGAGCAAGAAGGCGAAGGAGCGCATTTTCTTACCAATCTCGAGCTCGAGGACAATTTATAGAAACGTGCATTTGAATTGTTAATGGCAAGGCTTTGAAGATTTACTGGCGCCGGTGACCTTTGGCCTTTCGGAACGAAAAACAGAAATCAAAAATCTGCAAAATGGTCTGTGTTTTTTGATCAGGAACTTGAGTTCCTAAAGGATCTCTGCTAGCCTACCCTTTCCTAAAGAATCTCTGCTAGCTGCCTTTTCCTGAAGAATCTCTGCTAGCTGTCCTGATCAGCAAATTTCGAAAATACCATCATACCTACCTCGGAAGACACTCCCGTTCACTGGTGCATATCGGCCTCTTGGAAGTCACTGACACCGTAAATACCATCACAAAAATACAGAAACAAAGCGTAAATTGCATTTTTTCGCAGTGAAAAAGTGTGCAACGGCGAAACCAGTGATTTTATACGGAAAAAATGCGCGGTTTCTTTTAAAAAATCTGCTCCTTTGAAGAGGCGCCGCCAAAAAGCGTCGGCACTCTTTTAAGGTGTCTTTAATATTTTGTAATTTTAGCTTTTATCTCTCGTCGGATAACGATATGTTTTATTTAGAAAATGCGGCTTCCGAATCTTCTACTTGGCAGAGGCAAAGTACAGAGGACCGGGCCGAATTTTTCCTGGTGTTCACCTTCGGCGGTCGTTACCTGAAAAGCTCAATAATCTCCGCTAGCTTCCCAGAATTTTTATAGGCTACCAAATCCCTAAAGAACCCCTGCTAGCCCCCGCAAGATCCAAAATCTGCTTTTCAAAGATTCGCTGCGGCCTTTCCTTAAAAATCCTGCTAGGCCAGCTTCCTTGCAACCAGAATTCGGCCTTGAAAAATCATTGCTAGCCTGCCATTGCATTCCTTTAGAATTTCTGCTAGCATTCCATCTATCCATCTATTGAAAGAACCTCTGCTAGCTTGCCCGTTCAGTTTTCAAATAATCTCTGCTAAACCGCTCCATCCATTCCCAAATGATCTCTGCTAGCCTGCCCCCTCGATTATCAAATAATCTCGACTAGCTTGCCTCTCAGATTCATAAATGATCTATGCTAGTTTACCTTCGCTTCCCAAATAATCTCTGCTAACCTGCCCCACCTGTCCCGGCATACCACAGCTCGGGTCTATCAGGTCGCATTTGGGATCCACCAATCTAGCAGTGACACTGGCGGCCAAGACAGTCAGGAAAAAGCAGAAATAGTTGATGAAACGCATAGTTCCTAGCGGTCAAATTTTGATAATGTTACTACCACCATATACTACTCTTTTATACCTTAAAAATTCATGACTTTTCTCAAAAATTTCAGATCGACCACGCGCCACTCCTTTGTCGGGCGGCCGCCAAAGCTGACGGATGCTTTTTCGCAGTAGATTTTTGTATATATTGGGCATTTTAATAGCAAGTATGACCAGCTTGATGACGCGCGAATTTTTGTGGGGGTTGACAGGCGTGACGAGTACGTGACGATCCAAATTTCGAAAAATCTGGCACGGATTTTCATACTTTTTTGTTTGATGTTACTGTCCCCTTAAAGCACGAAATTTTGGGCAGGCTAGCATAGATCCTTTGGGAAGTCAAAGAGTAGGCTAGCAAATATCATTGTGGATGTAGGAGGCAGGCTAGCAGGGATCATTTGAGGGTTAAACGAAATTATGAGATTTTCGGTTTTTAACCTCTCACAAATGGAAAATCGATCTAAAGCATCAAACATTACTTTTGGAATAGAAATTAAATCGAATTTTCGATGCGATTTCCATATTAAAATATATGGCAAAAAAATATTTTTGTTACGTTTTCCAAAATTTATTTGCGTTTTACAGCTTTCCAATAAAAAAAAACAGGATGCGGAAAAAGCCGTAAAATGCAAATTATCGTAGCTGGGGGATATAAGCTGACAAATCCTAACCTTTTCCTAAAAACGCCAAAAATGCGCTTCTTGATTTCCATGCTGTTCTTTTTGGTCACGATGGCTCAACTTGCCGACGCGTTGGTAGGGCAAGCAGATGTTTTTAGGAGATGGCAGGCTAGCTGAGATTATTTAGGAAAGGGGAGGCTAGCAGAGGTGCTTTAGGAAAGGGTGGCTAGCAGAGATCATTAGGGAAGCCAAGTTGCCCGTCACCATCACTTTAGAAATACTGCAAAACCCACGGCGACTGCGACCTAGGCCATAAATGTTTCTGGAACACGGAGCTCGACAGGCAGGTTTGCCAGGTGATTTTAGATAAAAATTTTAGAAGATTTTTCATCGGAGTTTAGAATCAGTAAACTGGAGCGACATGGGAAAATCGACGCCTCCAATTTGCTGATTGAAATGAATAAATTCAATGCAAACCGAGTAGCTATCACAGCACCGCTCTCTCTCTCTCTCTCTCCCTCTCTCTCTCTCTCTTTCGTTATCCCTCTTTCTCCTTCTCTCTCGCTCAATATTTTTTAATTGAATTATCGCAGCCAATACAGTATACTATTTATGCGTTCGGATCTGTCTCCAGGCAGTAGCCCGGACGTCCCTCGTGGTAGCCAATGCAAGCGGGCTGCTTGTACATCCAACAGTCGGATTCGTCGACGCATTGGAGGACGGGTAATTTCTGAATTAATGGAATTTTTCTAGGCTGCTAACCTGCCCTCTGCATTCCTCACGAATCTCTGCTAGCCTACCCTTTCCTAAAGAATCTCTGCTAGCCTGCCCTTTCCTAAAAAATCACTGTTACGTCCCACCTACCTTGCAAATTTTCTGCTCGGTGCCCTCGACAGCTTTACAGTGGTAGTGTTTTCCCTCGTACCACCCTCCTCGGCAGTAGTCGTCAAAATGGCAGAACTAGATTCATGTATTTTCGCTTTTATCTTGCTTAAATTATACCGGATTTGGCAGGGCTGCGACTACGGTAAGGCAGATGAGGAATAGGACTGGTAGCTTCATGCTTGAAAAGGATTCCGTATAGTTTTCTCAAAGTTTCCTGGGTTTTCTAGTCGTTGCCACTTCATTTTGCAATCACGAGATCAAGCAGAGAGAAGGTTGTGGTGATTTTGAGTTGGAGTTATCAAGTCGTTCTCTCTCTCTCTCTCTCTTCTCTCTCAAGGCTCCATAGCTACTCTTATCCACGACATATTTATCAGTAGCTGCTGAATGATTTGCACTTTCCGGGATGCCCCTGCAAATAGCCGTCACATTCGCCTGCGACCTTCACGGCGCAGTCGTCGTCTCTCAGGCATTGGCGATCGGGTAGCAGCCTCTTAAAATAAATCATTAGGCTGGTGCTTTGGCTTAGGCTTCGACTTGGGCTTAGGCTTAGGTTTAATTTAGTTATCAAATACTTCAAATCATAAACCCACAACACAGCTGCCCGGGTATCTCTTGGGCATGTATTTGCAAAAGTATTCGGGTCCGTGCAGCTCCAGCAATTCGTGTCGTTCAGGCAGATCTGAAAATACGACATGATTTTTCTTTCTCTCTCTCTCTCTCTCTCTCTCTCTCTCTCTCTCTCTCTTTCTCTCTCTCTTTCTCTCTCTCTCGCCCTCTCTCGCTTTCGCTGTCTCTCTCATGCAAGCTACACTTTAAAACTTACCATAAAATCCGGGACCTGAGCAGCGTTGAGGCCGAGCGTGCTCATCTTGGAAATTGCGCCATTTTGAATTGGGTGCGTTGATTTAAAGACGCTGCTACTCCATTTTCCATAAAAAGGCAATCGTTTGACGCCTTTGCTTTGGCGGTGTTGAAAATTATGCAACAGACGTAGGACCTGGGCGTCTGGTGGAAGATTGCCGCGCGCGCTTTCTCTCTCTCTCTCTCTCTCTCTCTCTCTCTCTCTCTCTCTCTCGCTCGCTCGCTCGCTCGCTCAATCTCTCTCTCCCGACTTTGGCTATGCTTCGTCTTAGAGACGCTTTAAAAAAGAAATGCTTTTTAAGAACCCTTCCCTGTCATCATCCCTTTAAAATAAAGGAAAAGGCGCTTCATCGGCCAAGTTTATTCCTTATGCGTCGCCTCTGTTATGATATAGACAATCGCCGGGACGTCCTTCTTTATATCCCCAACAGATCCCTCGCGGTGGGTTGCAAACATCGTCCGACAGGCATTCAGTATTCTTTGGCTTCTGAAAGATGTTTTGCTCTCTCTCTCTCTCTCTCTCTCTCTCTCTCTCTCGCTCTCGTTCCTCTTTTTCTTCCTTTCTCTCTCGCGCTTTTTTCTTTCTTACGCTCATTCGCTCCCTCGCTTGCTCGCTCTCTCTCACTCTCAGTCTCTCTCTCTCTGTCTCTCTCCCACTCTCTCAAAATTAAAAAATCGGACCTCACATGTCTTCGGAGCTTTCGACGCGGAGTTCAAACAATAGTACGCTGGCCCAAGCGTCTCCTGGCAAGTGGCATCGTTCTCGCAAACCTGTAGGTTAGCGTACATCGTATTTTGGCCATATTCTTTATTTAATGCCATGAAAACAAACCGATCCTGCCGCCTCATCAGCCGACGCCAGATACATGAGGAGCACGACCAGGAGCAGCGGCTTCATGCTTGAAATTCTGAAGCGTTCGTCCGTTTGCTGGCTGTTCAAGGCAGTACCGTTGATTTTTAAGTCGGAAAATGTAAATGCGGCTGTTTTTCAAGGCAAAAATTATGCGGAAAAGGCTGAACGACCGGTTTTGGTCTCTCACTCCCGCTCTCTCTCTCCCTCTATCTGTCTCTTTCTCTTCTCTCTATCTCTCTCACTCTGTATTTCCCCTCGCCTGTCGTCTAGACGTAAACTAAAACTTCGAATTTATTCTTAGAAGGCGCAGTAGCCAGGGAGCCCTTCGGAGTATCCCTGACATCCGCCCTTCCTGAGCTTGCCGCAGTCAACGGCCGTGATGCACTCGTCTGCCAACAGCTTCTAAAAGTCCAGTTTTGCGTAGCTTTCTCTCTATAGATTTCGCGCACTTGCTCTCTATCGCTCTCTTTCTCTCTCTCTCTCTCTCACTCTCGCCCTCCCTCTCGCACGCTCTTTCTCGCGCTTTCTTTCGCACCTTCCCTTCCATCCTCTATGACTCTAATCGTGAAGTCTCCAAGTCGTACCTCGCATCGACTCCCATAAGGATTTTTCGGCAGAAAGTGGTGACAATAGTTCCCTGGCCCGTTTCTCTCTATACAAGAGGCGTCAGTTACGCAAACCTGAAAACGGTATCGTATAACTGCCGGAAAAAGTCTCTGCCCCGCTATTCCTGAACGCCTAGAGCCACCGGTTGGCTTTTTGCCAGTGGAGCAGCGTTGTGTCCGTACCCCTTTAAGCATTACACAGGCTCAACGTACAGTGTTGTGTCTGGGCGGTAGTAGCATAGCGGAGCAGAAGCCGATGATTTGAAAGCTTAAGAAAACCGATTTCATATTTCAAATTCTGACGTTTTGAGGCGTCGCAGGCTTTTAAGGGCGGTGCTGCTTCATCTTGCAAGCAGAACCCTCGACCTTTGCGGTTTTTCAATGGGAAAGTCATGCAAGAAAGTCAGGACAACGTGGCGCAACTCATGCTCTCTCTCTCTCGCTCTGTCTCTCTCTCTTTCTCTCGCTCTCTCTCTCTCCCTTCCAAGCTGTCTCAAAATGATGAAAATCCAACTCATTAAACCTGCATCAAAATAATCAAAACATTTTTATTCGGCCATTCTTCCAATCAGAGGGTTCCGGCCCTGCAATTGCCCGGCAAGCCCTCCTTATATCCCACGCATTTTACGTTCTTTTTATTGCCACAGTTGGCGTTGGTGACACATTTATTCAGCGAGAGCGGCTAAAAGTATTCATTAAATTTGGGAGCTAGTCGGGTCTGGTTGTCATCGACCTAACTAGCTCGAAAATCAATGTAATATCTGTTGCTCAAAGTTGCTAAACGCACCTGGCACCATTGGGACTTGTCGGGGTAGGCCTGGCAATAGTAATCCTTGCTGCGAAACTCCTGGCAAATGGCGTCCCTGACGCAATTCTAAAGGCGAATCTGAAAGCGAGAGAGAGAGAGAGAGAGAGAGAGAGCGAGAGATCGAGAAAGAAAGAGCGAGACAGAGTGAGCAAAGCAAAGGACTCTCTTACAGCTCTTAAAAAAACCGCCAAAAATTACCGATATTATTGGCGGACCAGCTGACGTGAGGCTCACGACCAGGAGCAGCAGCATAACCGACTTCATCCTTGAACTTCAGAAGCTTCAATGACGATAACAGGATTTTCAAGGCCCTCCTGCTTCATTTTTCAAGCAAAACCCTCGGGTTGGGCTGTTTTTCAATGGGAAAATCCTGCAAGAAAAGGCTGGCTTTGGCTTTCACGTAGCTTCCAAAAATTTCTCGCTCTCTTTGTATCTCTCTTTCTCTCTTTCTCTCGCTCTTTTTCGCTCGCTCTCCTCCTTCTGAATACGCTGGAAACGCACCTCGCATCGTCGTCCGCCTGGTTTCCCTATCAGACAGACGTTTGCGGGAAAAGCGGGGATCCTGGGGGGCCGTTCGGAAGGGAAAGGGTCATTTGGCGCCAATTCAAATAAACGGGGATTGCCCTCGCCTTCGTTTTCTCTCGCTCTTGCTCTCATTCGCTCTCTCTCTCTCTCTCTCTCTCTCTCTCTCTCTCTCTCTCTCTCTTTCTCTCTCTCTCGCTCTCACTCCCTTCCTTTTCTAAATAATTTTTAGATCCCCTGATGGTCGCTCTCCATTTTCCCTATGCCAAATTGCCGGCTCATCTACAGCGACTCGTCAATGATCAGCTCGATATGATGGCCAAACATAGAATGCGGAGTGTTTGTAAGGTTGGTTGAAGCGAAAAGTGAGAGAGGGAGAGAGAGAGAGAGATAGAGGAGAGAGAGAGAGAGAAGAGAGAGAGAGAGAGAGCACAACAAATCGTTTTCAGCTGTTCTCCCTGCAATTCTCGGCGTCAACGCTGCTGCTGGACGGCCGATGGGCGTGTTTAGTGTTGAATGTGTGGGATGAGGCGTGGGCTGGCCATCCGGGCACGTCAATCATGCTCGCCTGTGACGATGATCAGCCGTTGGGTCCGTATTTGTCTATCTCAATCTATACCACCGTTGGCGGGGTGATGTGCCCGGATGTTGACTTCAACTTTGCTTACGGAGCCGACGGATGGCTATGGCATGCGGTACTGGGCCTCAGGTAATTTCAGGGCTATTTTCATAGGGTCCAATTGAGTATAATCATGAAAGTATTCGGCGCCAAAAACGGCGGTCAAGTGGTTAGCGGCCGCGGATGCGGA